CTTTATTACCAAGGTCTGGTGCAGGAAGACCTCAAAGGGGTGACCAGGTTCACCATAAAGTGCAGCCCGTGCAGTCCCTCGCACTGCATGCGGGCACTGGCACCTCTAGCTCTCCTTCATTTGGGAACGTGATGGCCACTATTTTTAATATATCCCTTGAAAGTACACTTCCAAACCAAGATGGCTAATTTTCAACATGTGGTTATGTGCTCTCATCATCCACAACAGAATCTTTCCCCTGGTAAGACTGAACAGGTTGAAATCATTTGTACTTCACGGACATGATGCTGGGCAGAGCAGGGACCCCAAACCAGGTCTCTCTGAGCCTGGGGCAGATGCCCATTCTCCAGCCACATTACCGAATAATAACAGCTCTCGAGGGCTGTGGTGTCTCCCTCAAATCCAATCGAATTAATTTTTGCATGTAACAGCTCATCTAAAGAGATGCCAGATGATGCCAGATACACAGCCTGAGCATTTTGTCTGTGCTGTGCATGCCGTCGCCCCAGCCATTTTTCCTGGGCAGAGACATCGGCTCCAGTTCTCCCATCCACCGTGCAGAGTTTCCAGCACAGCAGCAGGGCTTTTTTTTTTTTTTAATGGAGAACAGCAAATGTGAAGGAACAAACCCAAAAGGAAGGGCAACGCCTGAAGCCAGCATAAAGGCTGAGCGTACGGCAGGTGGGCAGCAGGACGCGTCGCTGCGGGACGAGCTTGTGAAAATCGGTGGTTCCCAGGTAAGCGAGGGAGGGCAGGGAGATGGTTTTACCTCTGGGACCCAGTGGGAGCTCCCTGTAGATGTCTCTTGGCATTAAGCAAATCGGTTTCTTATTTTCTCTCATAATGGTCGCAACTGGCACTTTTTTCTCCCTCTTTCCCCACGTGCAAATGTTCCTTAAAATGAGATGCAATTCTCCATGGAATTACTGAAAATACAGGTGCCAGAAAATGAGAGCTTTTCATTAGCAGTCAGTGTAGCCCTCATACAAAAATGACTTTCATAGTTGCTTTACCCCATGTAATTACACAGCAAAGCCCCATTTAACATCTCACCAGGTAACAGCAACTTTCTGTTTCAAATCAGATTAATGTAAAAGTTACCCAGCCATTTTAAGAGATAATAGCTGTAATTAAGGTGTTTCTCGTGATGGGTTCCTATATTATAATGTGGCAGATGATTCTCTGATAGTCTTGTTGGCTGCATTAGTCACAACTGTTTTCATTAATATTGACAGTATTCTCTTGCCATACAAACAGAAAAGCAGATTAATCAAAATATTGTACTGTTTTCCTATGCTCTGAGCCCTTCCTTGGGGCTGATGCTCAATTCTTAGCTTTCAGTAGCAATAAAAAGCAGGTTTTGTAAGATGTGCAGGCAGCTTCACCCATGTTATTTAAGGCAATATTGTGAGAACAAGGGGAGAGAATTATTTTACTGAAAATCTGAAAATAAAACACTGACAAAACTTAAATGTTACGATTTCTAAACATCTCCTCTGGTTCCAGTTCGGGTGTCGGTGATGTGAGACTGCTGGAGTGTGTTCAGAGTGGGGAATGAGGTGAGCATGTGTATTTGGGTTCATTATTCTGGGGAAAAAATTGCACAGACCAAGAGACAAGCTGGCATGTGAGCAATTTGGGATCGTGAAGCTGGATCAGGAAATTGGGGGTCTCCAGTGGCAGATCTCCATAATGGTGGCTCAGGATGAGCAAGCAGCTTGTTGAGTTTCAAAATGACGGGAGAAAAGATTGTATCTCTATACCATCATTTTCAGTGAAACCAAAGCAGCTAAACGAGGCATGGATTTGAGTTTAAAAGCCCTATAAATGTTCATTTTTCATGGGTATCAGTTCTACACAATCAACTGAAGCTGTCAGAGGCAGCTTCTCCTGAACAAAGTTGTCATGGCAAGTCATCCAGAAAAAAACCTGTGTCAAGTGCCAAAAATGAGAAGGGCTGAGATGAACAGGGAGCATGATGGGAGTGCAGGTCATGATCTCCTGTAACTCACAGCGAAAAGGGGGGCAAAGGAACAGCTTTGCTTTGAGGAAATTCACACATCGATTTCCAGATTCAACAGTTTGCCAATTAAACAAAGGAAAGAAAAAAAAACCCCAACCTTAAAATTACACATTTGGGAGCACTGTACATATTGACCACTATGCTTGTGGTAGCTAAATGTCTTTTGGAAATATACCTGTGAAATATGATGATATAAGTCAGTTAAAATTGATTTCAGTAAATTTGCATACTATGAAGAAACAGAAAACTGTGAATCCCTTAGTCACGGTTTTTTAGAGAAAAACACGAAAATACCAAGGGAAAATATCTTGGCACACATTTTCATTCACATTCTGCATTCAAATTCTAGTTACTAAGATGCAGGCTCCTAAATAATTTGATATCCACAGAATTTTGTTGATGCTGATGGGACAGCCCCAAACCTTCCTTGCATATCTTCAATATATTTACAGCACAGAAGGCATCATGGTGTATAAATGTTTTTGGGTTTTAGGCAAGATGTTTTCATATAATCAACATAAAACAGGTATTTCCATGTAATCATTCAAATGTGAAAGAGTATCTCATGTTTTTGTACACGAGAGACTCCACGCTGCATGTTAAAGTACGCTTTGAATTTGCAAAATGGCCAATAGCTGTGCTTCATCAAAATGTATTGCCTATCTATAGATCTGTAGCAGCTTAAAGGGATGAAATCACCAGAGACTGAGACCAAAGGGCAAGCAAGAACGACGTCTTCTCTATGGGAAGTCTCAAAGTGCCTGCCTCCTCCAATAACATTGACTTTTAGAGGCTAGAGGGTTATAAGACCGTGGCTGGTTAATCATCCCCTTGCTGACCTTTGTAACAGGGGCTCAAATCCCACTGCATCTCCTGACATTTTGTTTTGCTTATAGGGGCTATGGCTGTCCCCTATGGTCCCCCCAAACAAGGCAGCGTGCACGCCTGTTTTCCTGCTCTCTACTCTCTGCTCTGAACATAAAAAATACCCTCATGGGAATGCAAAACTAAATACATTTTTTAAAAAAATCATAAAAAACACCCCCTCTTCTGAGTTCTGTATATAAACTTTTAATCTATGATCCCCATTTACATTTTGCTAATGTTTCATAAATTGTTTTGGTAAACTCACTTACTGAAAGCTATGCACTCACTTTTTTAAAGCTAATAAAACTATTTGTGTGAACTTGCAGAGAGGAAGTCTTCAGCAAACTCAGTATTAAAAAAAATCCCAGATTTGTATTTAAAAAAAAGCAAAATAGATTGTGACACCAACATATCAAATTCATTACTGCTCAGTGTCTGTGGAATAAAAAATACTGGCTGTCGAGGATGTAAAAAACATAAGGTTTCAATAAAGATGAGGTGTTGTGTAATTCTTGAAATGAGAGCTGTGGTTGTATACAGTCTTTAAAAGATTATTTTCATTTTAGGTTAAGAGTTGCTGTATTTTTGGTGAGGCAAGGCAGGATATTCTTGAATTTCTACTTTAGTAAATGAGAAAAATTTCTACTGATATCAATAGGATTAAACAGGGGTAAACCAGAATGGACCTGTTATAATTGAAAAATACAAATAGCAAGAAGGTCATACATCTACGAGTGGAAATGTATTGTAGGGGATGGTACAGAAATTGCCCCCATGCCCAAAGTAATAGAAACTGTATTTTAAGAAAATAATAATGACAATGATAATGATATAAAGACAGAAAGAAGAGAGAAGAAACAGAAGAATATACTTAAAGGCATAATTATTTTGGCTGGTAAGTCACATCCTATTGGCGGTATGATGAAAAGATGGTTGGTGATACACTTAGCACTTGTTCTGTCTGTCATCTTATCATCCATTTAGATAGAAAACGAACACATCCCTAAAGCTGATTATGTTCTTAAGCGCTTTATTGATTCAGCATCTCCATCTCTATTCATGTTGACTGAAGGTAATTTCTGATTAATTTTTATAAAACCAAGTATAAAGGGAGCGTTTTATTGTACTGCATTGTACAAACAACATAACCTGAAAGGCACTTGCAGTGTCAAATCTGGGTCTCTCATCTGTAGGAGACGTAAACGTTGAAATGTGCGGGAGTTTTGACAACAACCCTTCCTCCACAGTTTTCTCTTTGGAAGTGAAGAAAGGATTATTAGGGCATGATAGCGTAAGTGTGGCACTTTCTGAATATGCAGTCAAAGCCTTTGGGGCAGGGAAATATGTGGTGCAAATGATGCTGCTGCCATTAGGCTCCAGGGTCACACTCGTGGCCTGGAAGTGATGGGAAGTTTAAGTTCAATAAAAGTTACAAGTATTTACTAACTCTTAGGGATTTAAAAACATAAGCATGTGCTTAAGAGCTGTGCTTTAATTAGGCTTCTGTCCTTCCAGTTTTTCAGTTTATGGAAGCATTGTGTATTGCTTCAGTTTGGGTTGGAAGAAAAGCTGGTGGGCATCACAAAACCTCTTGCCATTTAATGCTTTTTACATAAAATGGCTGCAACGTATGGTCTGCCAGTCTGCAGCAGATGGCTTTCTGTACCTAACACACAAACTCCAATCTTACTGAATTTCCATAACTGTCATTTTTTATTTCTGCACGAATTCACTGTCGTCCATCCAATATTTTAAATGCACAAACAAAGCGCGACGCTCACCAAAGTAACGACTTCACACATCAGGCGTCCACCAGAAACACCGAGTAGCTGCACTCTGAGAGCACGGACGGGACGTTTTGAAGGAGACACCTGTCCCTATCCTAGGGGGCAGGGGCAGGGCAGCCTTTCATGGGGTCAGGAGAAGAACAGCAACCCTTTTTCTGAGCAGCTGGTGTGCTGGTGGGCAGAAACATTGCTAAGGGGACCCACAAGCAAGTGGCGGCAGCGAGCGAACACCACAAAGGGAATGGTGGAGCGGGGAGGCCCTCCATGCGAATCCCATTGTGCCACACCTTCATGCGGCCGCTCTGCAGCCCAGCGGCGCGGTGGCCCTGCTCCCCACCGCTCACACAGCAGCACGGACACACTTCCACGAGGAGCAGCAGGCAAATCTCACAAGGGAAACACACCACGAGTGCTCTCCCGGCTACGGGTTCATTTTAAGCCCAAGACACAAAGCCAGTTCGGATTTCTGAATTTTCCCATCCTTGTTCACATCACAGTGGTTGAGCAGGATCTGGCGGAACTTATCCAGGTCCACCCCACTAATGCTGGGCTGCAGGCAAAAGAAAAAAAAAAAGTGCTGAGAGAGAAAACAGCTCTGGATTTCCCCAGCCCTGTAAAGCAGCAGGCTGTGCAGCGGCAGGGAAATCCACCCAAGGAGGAGAGACCAAATGGCCTGACCCCATATCAGCGCATACGAGGTGGGGAAGTGAACAGAGAATGGGGAAAGGATGCCCTGCAAAAACAGAAGAGGTCTGGGACTGTGCGTAACTCTAAGGAAATGCAACATGCTCAGGCTCAGAGGGAGCCAAAGACCAGACTATATTTGGATCAAAACCTGAATCTTGGACTGCATCTGGAAACACAAGGTAATCCAGTGCAGATGGACTCTGCTGTCTGTAAGAAACTGGTGACATGCTGGGCATGGTATTCTTGATTTCAGGTAGAGCTCAAGTAATTTTCAAGTGCAGCCCTGTCATGAGCTGATGAACCATGATGTCATGCTGGTGAGGACCACATTCACAATGAAAACAGAAGAAAGAAATTCTGATGTAAGCTCTCTATTTACATAACTTTACCAAAACAATCACCTTCCTCTTGGAAATAGAGGGTATTAATAAATAGAAAGAGCCATGAAGCTACCTGGACCAGTTCCATCATATCTTTGACAAAACCATCCACTTCTGGGCCTTCGAGTGCTCCCGTTTTGCTCTGAAAGATGGAAGAAATATCAAAATGCTCCAGTAAGTCAAAAGCACAATGTTTGCTGGTCAGTAGGTCCACCTGATCACTGAGCTTTATAGCATAAAGAATTATCAAATGGTGTGGTTTGGAAGCGACCTTAAAGATCATCTAGTTACAACCCCTCACTGCCAGGGGCAGGGACACCCTCCACTAGACCAGGTTGCCCAAAGCCCCATCCAACCTGGCCTTGAACACTTCCAGGGATGGGGCAGCCACAGCTTCTCTGGGCAACCTCTTCCAGTGCCTCACCACCCTCACAGTGAAGAATTTTTTCCTTATATCTAAGTTCCCTTCCTTTTTCCCAAACCATCTCTTCCCCTCAAACGGCAGCAACATCTCCCACCATTTTGTGAGGCTTGCTGGTCACCACCCTGAGGGAGTTGTGTGACTGTCAGAAGTGGCACTGAATTTCTGATTTCTAACAGGCAGTTAGGTGGTCATGTCTGTCCTGGGCCAAACTCCCTAAATAACCCTTTGTTCAGTGCCAGAAGGGGTGTTATTTTTCAAGGTGATGGTGATGCAGGTCCCAAAGTGCATCCCTTATGTCTCCTGCAGGGAGATACTGCTAATGCAGCAGCGCTGGCCGTGGCGATGGAGAAAGTCAAAATGGGTCCTTTACCATGAGGTCTCTGAGCATCGCTCCCTTTTGTCCCCACCTTAACCCCCAGCCTGGCGCCTGGGCCCCTCTGGCTCGGGCACAGCTGCAGCTCCTGTGTGACCCCCACCGCACCCAGCAGGAAGAAGAAGTCTTCGCAGTGTCTGTTAAATCTATGTGTGTTAAATCTGGGACTCACAACGTCATAGTGTGCAAAGATCTTCTCAAAATCTCTCTTCCTTTCCTCTGTGCTGGAAGCCTGCATGTGGAGAGGACAAGCAAATTACAGAGAAAAAAGAAAAACATTCAGGTTTGGGCCCAGGTTATCTTAGATGAGAGAGATGAGATCGATGCATCAAAAAATAGCACTACTTACATCCATTTTAAATTGAAGAAGGAAATTTTCCTGGAGAGCCAGAATCCTGAATGGAGAGATTTAAATTACCATCTTTCCACTTTATCATCTACATACAAACTATTCCGAACTCTTCTGGTTTGTAAAGCAAAGAGATTTTTAGATTACAGGTCTTTAAATAAAGAAAATCGCCTGCAGGGTTATTTACGGGGGGCTGTTACGGGAACACGCGCCTCCCTCCCTGTCTGACGGGGAATGGCGGGCGCCCTTTGGCTCGAGGCAAATGTGTTTCTTAACACTATTGCTTCTCTCAGAGTGTTTCTGGTGGTCCAGCGCAATGGAGGTGGTCAGCCTCTGAAGGAAGAGCTACCAGACAATAATTCCTTGTAACTGGATTGCTGCACTGTGTTAAAGGAAAGAGTAATTTATCGTTCTCTTTTAGTGGGAGAATTGGTGGTTGTAAAAGTCAAGGACAAAGTAATACTGGCCTGAGCACCAAGACTGGCCAGATCCCTCTCCTTTCCCCTCCCAAATTCCCTCACAGCACTGATGAAAGCTTTTCTCTCTCCAGCTGCTCTGCTAACCCTGATGTTTTAGAGCCCGCGACACCGGGCGTGCTGAGCTGTGTCTGCACGAGGAGGGGCTTGGGCTGTGAGAAATGTGCACAGACCAGAGGGGAGCCTGGGGAAAGGGGGTAGCAGGGAACCATATTCAAGAGGGAAATGCAACAGCAACCCTCTTTAGATATTCTCCGTTCTGCCTCTGTTTCTCTTCATATATTCAGTGGCCAAAGGGAACTGCCATATGCACTGCAGTTATTTGTGCTGGCATTCATTGTGATCCCAAGCAGAAAGTAACAGTGGCAAACCAGCACCTCTCTCCTCTTGTCCCCCAAACCGGTGTTTTAAGACCGTACCTGCACATTTAAAGTCCTGCCCGGTCATTGCACATACATTTACAGACAGAGGCATACTCTCTGTCTGTATGCAGTGAAAATCATATAAAAGCCTCTGAGGTATCAAGGACAGAAAAGAGACAGAAGCCCATGACTGAGTCCCCAGCTTCATTCACAAGCCTCTTCACCTTGCCTCTCCAAATCCTTTCTTACTGCCTCTGGCAAACTCCTTTGCTGTGGCACTTTTATTCCTCAAGCGAGCAGCAAAAATTCTTTGCAATCCCTGCTGCGCACAACAATGTGAAATAAATGCACATCTGTGACCCTGCTGAAGGGGATCAACATCCTTCTTTTGGAGAAACAGTGCCACTGGCTGTTTCGTCACCTCCTGGGGAGCGTTGCAGCGGTGGCACGGATCATGCCAGAGCATGTTGGTGATGCACAAACAGGTCCTCGCATTGCTCACTGTTACCGGCTCTAGGTTCTTGGGCTATTGCAATGGGGACCGTGCATTAGAGACCTGGGATACCTATGTCAGAGTAACTGATTCAATTTGAAAGGAGGTAGGATTCACACGCGTGTCCCCAGAGGGAGATCATCACCTTGCCTGGATCTCCATTGCGAGCTGAAAAAAAACCACAATATTATTAAAGCCTACCTTGCCAGGTCATTCAGGTCCAGCCGTCCATCTTTGTTTTTGTCAAATATTTTCATCTAATAATCAAGAAGACAGAGATACAATAGATAGAACATGAGGAGAACACACGTACGAAAAAGCCAAAGTACATTTTACTCTGCCCTGTGCCCTCAACCTCTGCTTGCTCGGGGTGCTTGCCCGAGCCCCAGGCAGCGTGGCATCTGCTGCTAGCACCACGTGCAAGGGTGGCACAAAAGCATAGCAAACCCCCCCTGCTTTCTAACAGCGACAAGCCAAGCAATCAAATACCAGCACCGCTTCCTTTCCCACCTTACACAGGGATAAAGACAGGTCTCCAACAAACACCTTAAGAAACTAAATACTGGCCTTGCCATGGCCCCTGAAAAAAATGCTGAAAAAAGGGAGGACATTCTCAACACTTCCAGCCAGACTCCATCCTTATCTTTGACTGTTGCTGTGGCTACAAGCAGCTGAGGTGCAGATGTCACCTTCTGATAGAAATTCAGGTCAGCGTTTTACGCTGCTAAAGCCTGTGGGCTTTGCTTGGCTCAAAGCCTGCTGTCGGAAAGCGGTAAGACTGGGAAGAAGGTTCAGGCTGCCAACGTCCAGAGGTTAATCTGTGTGAATACAAAACTTATCTGTTCCTTAATATTACCTTTTCCTTAATATGATCTTTATGATGACTCACCACTAGAAGTTATTTATTTATTTACTGTATTTGGTGCAGTGTTTCTCTGCAAGGCACAAAAAATAGTCTGTTACAGGGAAAGAAGAGGGGATGCTTAATGGGTTGGAAACCACAGGGTTGCAAACCTGAATAACTCATGGGTTAAAGTTCTAGAAAAAATGTATCCTACATTGTAGGGGGGGGAAGATTAATATTTTGCTAAGATGGGTTGCCATTCTTTGTCAGATACTCAGTAACAGAATATGCTTTAATCTTACCTTCATGAACCTCATTTGCTTATTTAATGGTTATAAGTAACCAGGTCACTTTGGTGATTAATTGCACACCTTTTGGAGAAAGCCCATACCAGTCCCCATCTCAGGAAGCTTTGAGGGAGCGAACCATCCTCTGTGACACATCTTGACCCTGCGGGAGCTCCAGGCAGAGCCAGCAGCAGGTCCTGAGCACTTCCCAGCAGTGAAACCAGGGCAGAGCTTGACACGTGCATGAGGATAGGTGTCATCTGGAGAGATGCCATTTGTCAAGGACCCCTTGCATAAACACCATGCCTACTTTGTCAGGGCTGCCTCCTCCCTGCCCCTTGCTTGAGGGCAGGCATGTACATTGAGGGTGCTGAGCCTGTGGTAACCCTTTATTGCACTGGGTTTAGGTAAAAATCTGCAACAGAATTTTATTCCATTAATTATTCTGCATGATTTACACTGCTGAGGTTTGGATGGGATTTTCTGAAGAGCACCCGGTATGGGCTAACTTTCCCTCCCACTGAAAGACAGTATAGAACTCCTATGAATGATTGAAGGCTCATATTGAGATCTTTGGAAAAATCACATCCTGAGAGCCATGCAGGCATTCAGTGGCACAAGGAAAGCCGCTTCCCACTTCTGTGCAGAGCCACTAAATGATAGATGAGAGACCTCTGAATCTTCCTTAGCCCTAGAGCTGAAGAGATGAATAAAGCTCCCGAGCCATCCTGAGGACTTCTCTTAAGCTGCATCAGTCCAAGTTGTTCATCTCCAGCTTATCTAACTTCTTCCATCCTTCTTTCTGCCCCATCAGTTGTCCCACTGCAATATGGGACTTCTCCCTGGTCTCTGCTGGGGCCACAATGGGGCAAGGCTGGCTTCAGTGGTGCCACCAAAGAGAGAAATGCCCTTGCAACAGCAGCTTCCCACTGCCATCAGGGAGAAAAACATGAACTTTCAGTTCCTGGCTGATAAAGGAGTTATTCTGCAGGCAATATAAAATGGTTAATGTTTCTTCTAAAAATAAATCATCCCAGACAAGATTTTAAAAGCCTCTCTCCAAATGGGACATCAGTGCCTATAACCTGGTTTTGTTCATCATGTGAGGAGAGGGGGAGATACCCTGACTGGCTCGCTTTTGCGGACTCTCTACTGCACGTGGCTTTGCAACATCCAGCTTAGGCTATTACTCTTACTCTGAAAAATACTCCATAAAGGAAGCTTACAGACACAACCTCTGTTTAGCCAGCTAGAGAAAATGCCAACATTTGGGTGGTGGAAATGCCATAGTCCCTAGGCTCTACAGTAAATCCCTCCGTTTAGGCCACCGAGGAGCATTCGCTACCCAGACATCTGTAAGAAGTCACCATAAAGTGGTGTGCCTAGCGTGGTGTGAGGGGACAGCGTTTGGTGGGAAGCGTGGGGTGAAGCTCTCAGGGACACTGCTGCCCGGGACAGGGCAGGTCTGGCTGAAGGCATGCCCTAGTCTTTTCTTCGCGCAAAGATACAATGCCCTTACCAAAACACACTAAAACTTACTGCCTTTAGCTCTCTTCGAACTTCACCTGGATTCTCCTACATGTTTCTGAGTTCCTGAAGGTGGTTTTTTATTTTCTCCCATTCTCTGTGTGTCTCAGAAGTACTTTCTTGGAACTAAACCCCAGCACTTCAGCCCAGAATTTAGATTCAGATATGTTTTTCCCTCTGTAATGCCTCAGGAAAGCACACAGAGCTTTTGGGAGAAGTTCAGCTCTGTGACCACAAGGTCCTGACCTCTGTATAAGCTCGCTGATAAACACCTATCAATGCTGACCGTGATGGCAGCTTCTGGGACTAGGACAGATCTGGTGGTTCCCAATCCAAGGGGCAGATGTAGGCCCATTTTTCATTTCACGTAGGCCTGTCTGAGACAAGCCATGAGGTTTTTTTCCAGTGAAACATCTCCAGTTTCATCTCCTTTTCCACAGAATAAATAAATAAGCATTCTAGCGTAGCTATTCTTTTCTTGGGACTTTGGGTGTCCCACCTGTCCTGCATCTGCTCTACTTTGTGGGTGCAGCATGTTTTCACTGTTTCAGAAGTTGCAAATAACCATGGGAGGCTGAAGAGCTTAATGAAACAGGCTAGATTAGAGGTGATGGTTTAGATGTGAAAGTCTCTCTGCTTCATTATAAATTTTCAGAGCTGGTGGTTTTCAACTGTATCCATTTCTGAACACTTTACAATATTCCATCAGTAGTGCAGATCCTATTAAAACACATTTAACTGCAGAGATAATACTTTCCTTAGTGGAACATTTAATGAAAAGCAACATGCCCAGTCAATTTGCTTCATTTGCACCCTATCTTTGAGCTGAACATTAAACTTTCAGTGGCTGACCATGTCTCTACTTACAGCTAACCAGCTCCCCTCTCTGCCCTCCTTCACTCAGCTCTGCTTTTGCAATACCAAGGGAGAATCTTTGTGTTTTCAAATTGTTTTGCCTTTTTCTGCAACAAGTATCCTGAATAAAATTTTCAAATATATGCAATATTTTGATTACCTATACCAGTCAAAAGAAAGAAAAGCAAAGTCTGGCTGGAAGACCTAGGCTGAGCTAATTCTTGTTGAATGACTTCCACATGAAAGAGGGAAAACATGTCGGGAAGATGGAATAGTGTTCACTGAATTAGTTCAGGTACCACAGCTAATAAGATAGACCTAATCCTATTATCTGGACAACTGGAGCTCATGCATACCCACTCCATGTCAATCATGGGCTGCATTACTCAGTAAAAGCCTGGGGAAATGTTTATTAATGAAACTTTCAAATTTCAAGCATGCAAGTGTTTGATCTGATCTGCTAATTGCGTACATAAGTACACAAAGAATGACAGAGGGTACCCACCCCATGTGACGAAGTGTATATCATGGGACAAGAAGATATTTGAAATCATTATGAGATTGTTTCTAATTTAAACTTTTGCCTTTACACACCATCTTGATAGGTTAAACTTGATGGATTTTCAGTTTACACTCTTGAAAGGTATATTTATGCTGCCAGGCTGATATGAAACATCTCAATGTGGTTAAGGACAAGGTCTGGCATGTTTAAATAGCACTCTGCTTGACTAAAAGCTTTGTTGCATCTAGCAGTATGCTTTATAAAATGGTGCATTTATTTTACTGTCAAGCTACCCCGTGTTTTAAAGTGTTTGCACAAATTAATTCACTGACATTTTAATGTCAGTGAACCAGGGAAGTCTTAGTTCTGTTTGTCTGAACATCATCCATGCACTCTGAGGCAGACAGAGCATAAGCCAAGAGCTGGGTTTGCAAAATAAGAATTGTTACATCTAATTTTTTTAAGTGCAAAATCAAAACTGCCATTGACTTTGAATTCATCAAAGGAAATATCTCTGCTTTCCCAGTCCAGTGTTGTAAAGGCGGCCGCTGAAACACCATGATATGACAAACACACATGTGCTTTGAAGAGAAATATAAGATTATAAATCTGAATTATTTTCCATGAGAGAGATAAGGAAAGAAGTAAACAACCAAAATAAATAGTTCTGTGATGAGTGGACTCACTAAAGCCTGCTTTTAAACCTTCCGTGGTTCTGGTTCTCTGCGTGTAATAAAGTGTTTTATCCCTTAGGTGGGACACGGAAGGAGTCGGCTCTTGCCTGACCTCCTACTCTCACAGATGTGTATGTTGAGGGCATCTATACCCAACAGCTGTAACTAAAATTAGCCAGTGAGAACAAAAGTTATTGAGGGTGTATAAAGACAGGCACATGCCCGAGCTGCAGGACTGCCTATGGCTTCTCTCCTTAGGGAAGGACAGGGACCCAAGGCCTCTGCAGAGCGACAGAAGGGCCCTGTGGCCAGTGAGTTACCCTTGGGACAAAAACTCAGTGCTCTGCCCGAACAGATTGCCCGTGTAATCTAGATGAGTTGTTTACTGCAGGATTTCTAAGAGCGTTTTGGCTCCTGAAAGACCAAGGCATTATCTGCTGAGGTTTTCAAAAGTGCAGGCTCCTGACTTCTGGTGATTTTGATCTTCAGAAATGAAGTTTGAACTTAAATGGGATTTTCTGCTTCCCCTGGCTTACGCTACAGCAAGCGTGGCGCAAAACCAGAGGCAACAGCATCACTGAGATTAAGTCTAGAAGAGACGCGGGAGGCAGATTTCCCTCCGTTGTGTTCATCAGCTGTGTGGGTCCTCTCTTTGTCACACACAGCAAAGCAACAAGAGGTATTGCACCCACCCAAAGCCAGGAGAAAGCTCTCCAGGGATGAGGGGGGTCCCACAGTGGTGGCTGGGGTTAGGAGATGTGATGGTTGCAGTGTCAGTGCATCACTGGAGATGCAGTCTCTTGGGGGTCATGGCATCCTTACGGAGCCACCTGGGAGGGAGGCCAGCATGGACCACTACCAGGAGAAGGAGTGTACAAAGACTGCTCCTTTAGGCAACCAGTCTTTTAGGCTATACTCTCTCTATATATATATATATGTATATATAAATTACAGCAGCATTGGCATTGAGCACAGACAGACAAGCTTTCACAGCCAAAGAAGCAACCACACCGAGCCTCTAGCATTGTCCTCACAGAGGGGACAGGCAGCAGCCACAAAAGCACCAGTGTACAATAAAGGTAGTCCACAATATGTACCCATGGACACAGACCATCTTCAGGGAGAAGTCAGCCTGTTCCCCTTTGCACTGAGAAGATGAGGAGCCCTCAGCTAGTCAGCTGCAGGCTTGCCTGCGGGGGGAGCGACTGCTCGGGGTATGAAGCTCAGTCCCCAGGAGAACCTTTGCAGATAAGCCCAGCAAAACCCTGGCATCATTACAGCTGGCAGGATTTCTATTTTGACTTCTCCGGGGCTAATATTTCATCCTCAGCCATCTCCATCTACTAACTTTCAAATGCTGTAGTTCACGACCAATGCTTCTTGAATTATTAGTCACTGCACTTACATTATCGCCTCTCTAGTATTTTAGCTTGTGGTGGGCAAAGGTAGTGCAGTGGCTGGAGGGGGGGGGGGGTTGTAGTGCAGTGGCTGGAGGGGGGTGTGTGTTATCTTTTACATTCTACTAAAATATAATAACGGTCAAATTGAAGGACAGTTTTATGCTCAGTCTGACATTATCAACATAAAGCAATGCAAAAAGTGAATGTCAGTGTTGCGTGTGCGACTGTTTCAGCAATATATACAACTTAGTTTGCTGATGTTTGCCTCAGTAATGAGCCTGCCCTGCACTTGGCTTGTAGACGTTGGGATTACAAACTAGAAGTAGCATGCTGCTATCTGGGAATCTATAAACTATCAGTGTTTCTATGAATGCAGTAATAACGTATGCCAAGATGCAAAAGGTGAGTGAGAATTTTGTTCTTACAGGAAAAAAAGGATGAATACTTAATTTCAACAGAAACTATGTCTTAAGTCATGGTTCATATTCAGTCATTTACAGTATTCTGCTTAAGTGCACAGCTATGTGCATGCACAGGTATGGAAGCTGTCACTCATGGCAAAACGGTGTCAAATGCACACATGAGCTGGGTGATCATGGGCAGAAACTTCACCAGGACCCAGAAGCCTAATAAGAGCGTGACTGGGGGCTGAGGGGAGGTGGGGAGGGGGTGGGAAAGTTTGCTAGTACTGCTGTCATCCTCCGCGGCCTCCTCATCGTGAAGCTGTAAGGGGGCAAGCTTTAATTTCTCCAGCTTGTGTTACTCCAGAACGGCAGAATGTTCTCACCATGCTCTTAAAAATCTCCATTTTCAGCTGTGCCCACCCTGTCTCCAGGAGCACGCACTGCAGGACCCCTGGAGCATCTTCTCACGGCCCGGAGAGGCTCAGAGCAATGCAGGGCTTTGCTTTGCCTCTGAGCACCTTGCTCCCTGCCAACAGCTCTTGGCCTATGCCCATGGGAACACAACAAACCCACAGATCGTTTTCAAGGATTCAGAGCTGCATGTGACTGTGCATCTTCTTATGCAAGCGGGTACATGCAAATAAATATTAATACACACTTAATGACTATTAATACCAAAACAAACAAACAAACAAAATATATATATATATGTAGGCATGAAAACTAACAAGAACTCTGCCTGCAAAAGAGCTTCCTCAGCACAGGGTTGCTACTTGAATTCCCTCATGAAGATTGAGAATTCAAACATTTTTCTTTCGTGACTTTCTCCAGTGGCTTTAGTGCTCTTTAAGGTTTGATTTAGCAGACTCACAGGGCTTGTGCAATGCCAATGCATTCACTACTTGTTTTCTTTCCAAGGGTTCATACTTGTTCATCAAATCCCTGACCTGTATCAGTGTTTTCCGAAGAGACGATGTCAAGGTCACAAGGAAACAGAATAGCCTCTTAAGCAATAACTTCTAAGCAGCCTGATAAAGTGATGTTCCTTTCTGGAGACAACCAATCTCTTCCAAAAGAAATACTTTCTCCCTCTTCCAAGCTTTTTCTAATGTGGTCTAAAGTCATTCATAGCAGCATAAGTAACGGGCAAGGATTTAGCATGCTCTGGTTGGTATGGTATCTGCTCATACCTCTCACAAGCTGAAGCTGCAAACAGCACAGAATCATAAATTGCCTTTTTTTCTTTTTCTTTTTTTTCCTCATGCCTCAGCTAGCTTCTTTAAAGTGATAGCTTCTATCTTTTCCCCTTTACCCCTATCTCCAGAAGGCTCTAGGATCCACTCAGTATATCAGTAGCTGCTTAAGATGTGTGCAGCTGGCTGTGGACGTACAGAGAAGAGGGTAGAGAGCTTTAAATTCCTGTGGAGACAGATGGGTTTATGGCTCCTTGGGACACAGCTTATTTCAACTGAATGTTATTACAGTGGCACTTGAAAGCCCTGAGTTGGATAGATGGGCCACCCTGAGAGATCCTGTAGCTGCGTGCAGCAGAAACAGGTCCTTGTCCCAAAGACTCTGCGCTATAAATGGAGAAAAGGGTGGGAGTAAAGTGATAGGGGGCAGAAATAGAAGTATTTCCACTTTGCAGTAAAGGAATTGGTGCTGCTGGTTGTTAAGAAGTCTGTGAAAGCCTCAGAAATTAAATGTAAAGCTCCTGCTCTGCAGCAAAATACGTCAGGGCCACTGTCACCCTGTTTTCCCAGGCATTGGCGATGGTGACAGACCCATCGGGACTCTGCGCTTCAGCAGCTCCCTGCTCCGTGTAGAAAGCAGAGAGCTCTCATCGCCCTGGGCCTTGACCTCATACTTTTGCTCTTGGCTCCTCGAGTCACTTCTCCTCCCTTTCTAATCCAGCACCGCAAACGTACGCGTGAATCTTTCTTCCCTCCTTGTGATTTTGCCCCACTGCTTCAGACAAGTTCCCCTGCAATCACTTTGAGCAGTGTATCTGCTGCTATAGAGATGCTGTCCATGTGGATACTTTGCCGTGACGTACAGAATTCATGTCCTCTATTTTACTATAATATATCACAGGGCAAGATTACATGTGTTGTAATTTCACACCCTGCCTTAGCTGTTGGGATTGGGTGTGTTTGCAAACTTCTTTGATCTTCAGTTCATAGCAAAGAATTGCAAGGAAAAAAAAAAGTCATCTGCCATATCCTCATTTTCTAATAACCGTTAACATCCCTTATTCTTTTGGCATTGCGGCTTTGCAAACATTTTTCCTCACGAGCCAGATTTGCATTTCAGATCACAGATTTCCACAGATATACAAAGCATCCCTTTTCCCAGATCAAACCTTATCCTGTAGTGTAGAGACTAAACTGCCTCTCTGAAGATACAAAGCCAATCTATAAAAACCATGGGAATAGAAACCAGACCTCCTGGCTGTCAGCCCCGGGCTGCGTCACCAGATCACGTCGATATCTAACTGCCTTGGGGCAGTAGAAATCACAGATCTTTCTTGGGAAATTGTTGGAAAGGGAAAGAAGTTGGAGGAAATGAATATCCCAATGTCTACAAGCTTCAGATCGCCTATTCCCCAGCACCTGATCAGAGATTAGGCACTGGGGGAGGAAACCTTAACGGAGCAGCATAAAAGCTATTTGCTACCTGCAAGCACTACCAGGAAGGTTTTTGTTCTAGCTGTAGTTTATGGGGGTTTATTGTTTTCAAGCTCTGCCAGTTGGAAAATAATTTCTGTAGCTTGCATTTCTCTCCCTTCACTGTCCTATAAATATGAAAAAAAAATAAAAAAGTACAGTCTTCTGTAATGGTACAGTTTTTCACTTTGCTGTAAAGGGTCACATTTCTAGGCACAGATGCATCATGCATACATAACATGGTATTGCAAAATATGTGGGCAGCTCCTTGTTTGCTTGCATACCAAGCTGTATTTTAGGTACAAGTACAGATTTTGTGCCAAGAATCAAGGCAGCCTCATCTGAAAATCATTTAGAAAATTGCAGTGGTAGATGTCCGCTAGTGGAACGCAAATGATACCCTTCATCAGAAATGAGCTTTTTTTTTTTTTTGCTTTTCTTATTTTTTAGATGGTTAGATATAATAAGTCACTCTGAAATCCAGGTGATTGATCCTAAACTTACATCAAATATTATGTTGCTGATAGCAGGATGAAAAAATATATTGTGATAAGGCAGGGGAAGAGTTGAAGCTTTCAACCTCTCAGTCTTTCAGGGAAGCAGCAGGGAGCCAGCAAGGTTTGCTGGGCTTTGTAGAGCAGAAGAGCCAGATACCCGCGTGTCTTGGGAGCAAAAGGATTTGCCAGGAGGGAGGGAGGGAAGGAGCTGGAGATCTGGCCGAGGCTGAACGCACCCTGAAGAGGGATGCACCTCAACTACTTTTTAAAAATGGATTTAGGGTTCAGTTTGCTTTGGCATAAAGTCAAGCTGTTTTCTCATAATAAACAGTTCAACTCAAAGAAAAAAATATATGAAATGCTGTTCACAGCTGATGTCCAGTGCAGTGCAAAGAAACAGCAGCAGCATGTGTTAACTTTCCACAGGGATCTCTTAGAGAAGATACACCTTTTAAGAGGGTATGGCCCTATATTATTATTTATGGCCCTATAGACATTGACCCTGAAGGAGATTTTTAGGCAGTAGTATAAACTAAACAATATGAACACTATCTTTTCTTACCATGGTATCAGTATATTCTTCCAGCTTCACTTCAGCAACCATCTTGTTATGCTGCAAAAAGAGATCTCGCAGGAAATCCTGTGGTAAGGAAAAAGACAAATTTTACTCTTTAGAGTGAATTCAGGAACTAACAGTAAGAAATTCAATCCAAATTCAGCAGGGTTACATGAATCTAATTTCACATTCCTGAGTAGTACTATTGTCTTCAAATTCACGTAAAGGTCACATTTTTTTAGTTGAAACATATTTTTTTTCAAATAAATTAGAAAATAACCGAATTTCCCCAGAGCAGGCATACTGGAATTAGTCATAATTAACCCGCTAAAATAAAAATATTTGCCATTCAGCAAGACATTTAAGCATCTGCTCATGTCTCTGGTGGGGCTCAGGCTGGAGTCACACGCTGAGAGGTCAGCAGAGGGTCTGCAGCCCAGGGATGGATTCCTGTGCCCGGCTGGCTCCAAGCGTTTGAGTTACAGTTTCTGAACAGGCTTCTGTCTCAATAGCCTGAGTTTTAAAAAGAAACCAGCGTTCAGAAAATCTGCATGCTTGGGAAGAGGTTATGAAGAAATCCCATTAATAAAACACAACCGCTGTGGCTCTGCTTAGCTGCGAGAGGCACATGTGTAAAGCCAAGGTGAGGCGTGCTTAGGGGGCTTCTTGGATGCTCGGAGGGCACCAAGACAGGTGGGGTCATGGGACGAGGGAAGGGGGAAGCAGGACAGCCATGGCAACAGCAGAGCATCCTCCCTCCTGGCAGGGCCCTGCAGGTGTGCCAGAAGGCTGGAGGGTGCCCAGTCCTTAAACTCGCCGTGAACAACCTAGAAATGCCATTCGTCAACCACACAAAAAGGCAGCAAATTGGTAAAGCTGACGGAAAGGCTCCCGTTGGCATCAGTGAGCTGTAGATCAGGCCTAAAGAGAATTGTTAGAATAACTTACTTTGAGCTCACCAGCTGAAATAAATCCACTGCTATCAGCATCATAACTGCGCCAGATCTGAATGGGGATAGATTGATATGACCACATAAATATTGCAGTTAATCATCTGCTCGGGTGATAGATTGTAAAGATTCAAATCAGGACTTAAATAATGAGTAAGCTGTTGCACTATCCAATATTTAATAAATTGTAGACAAAATGAAAGAAACTTCCCACACAATAGCTTTTACTTGCATTTGGATGCTGTAGATGTGACATGCTGCTATCACATATTTAATGCAGACACACTATAAAAGGAAGAAAAGATGAAGAAACCATTCTGCATTTCTTACCTAATTTGTACATGCAGCTTCTCTTATTGCCCTGAGTAAAAGTCACAACTGGCCATTGTGACTGCAGAAGTCCCCAGTTTGGATGTGAAATAAAAGTAACTGGCAGCAGTCTTGGAGAAATTGAAATTCTGTATTGGGATACTTATGGGCAGAGAACGGAGGGAGACTGGGCACGGTTAAGGAAATCTTATGGGTTTGTGCTCCTAGGCCCAGCTTATGGAGATTTCCACCCCACACCCTGCCAGGATAACGCGTCAGGGTAAAATGGTATAACCCTCTCTACCTGAACAGGTCAGAACGTGTTTTGCTTCCACAATAACCACATTTTTCCCATGTTATGTTCTACGGAGGGTGGAAGTGTACGTGTTGAAGCTGTTGGTGTGCAAGGGGAAGAGACAATGTGGAGATACAGACCCGCATGAATTCCACGCTGTTGTCCAAGGGAGTTTCCCGTCGGAAAAGCAGCAGAAAGTTCTCATCATCAGGCAGGATCATATTTGCAAGCTGGAAAAAAAACACATTAAAAAACCCCAAAACAAACCGAAACCATGAAAGCAAGGTTATGAAAAAACTTGGGTGGCTGCTGACGCAGTATGGGAAGTGTAAGCTGGGCATGTTGTTGCCTTGGAAATAAACCCCAGACCAAGAGATCTGGCGAATGTAGTACTCTGTGACTCACCACGTCCCCACCCAGGCTCTATCTCCCAAGTCTGCTCTAGGTCCTAATTATCCCTCCTTCTGTGAAAGAAATCCTGCGCTGGGGGTAGAAGGAGATACCTCTTGGATTTGCAAGCGTCCATCTGTGGTGACATTGTAGGCAGACATGAATTGCTCCTTCATCCTCTGAACTTTTTCTTCTGTGATGGTGTTCTGCCATGGGGAAAACAACACGCGCATGAAACCTCTCCTCACTCACAGATAAGCACCAGGAACATTGCATTGTTACAGTCAGGGACTAATGCTTCAAAAAGCCCACAAACGCACCACTGCGGATGAATTTTTGGAAACTAGTGCTATGCATAGCTTTCTAGCAACTAAGCTTTCAGTTGGAAGACCAGTCTTTGGAGACCCCAAAATATTTCAGTGATACCTGCTTCTTTAGCTGTATCACTAGGATTTGGTTTTGTTTCAGTGTGTGTTACAGTGGTTTCCATTTTCATTTTGTGCTATTCAGGAAGATGCCCTTATCCTTGAACTACATCCCTGTAGCTCATTAGATCATCAGCCCTGAAAGTTGTCAGCAGAGCTAGATTGTTGCTCATTATTGCCTGTCAACTGGCCCAAGACCTGGCACCAAGCCCTGTCGGTGTTTCTAGGTTAATAGCATGAGGTTTCAAGCTATTTATATTCTCTTTGCATCTGCTCAAACCCATAATCAATTTATACATAGTGAGGAGTTTTCAGGACTTGTCAGGTTATATATTTTGATAGGCATCGCCATGACAGGTGAAATACAATGCTGCGGTTCATCAGGCATGATTTCTTTTCCTTAGCAGTAACTGTCAGGGTATCTGGTCTGACTGGGCTACACGAAGTATGATTCCCCCCACCCTGGGGAAGGACTTCAGGTGAGATGATCTTTGTGGCTGTGTTGGGAAGCTCACCTAATTGATCTCTCACAAGCAATTAATGAAGTCCAGCGTTACCCTCTGCACCGGCACCGAGCAGGTCCTGGCTCCTCTCCCAGTCCCGTGGGAGGTGGCCCTCTCTGGGAGGGAAAAGAGGGAGGAGAACCTGGGCTGGCTCTTGGCATACTTTGGTAGCATGTTTTACAAGAGAATACATTAAATTCTTCCCTACCCCTGAAGAAAAGCACTTCAAAATTTTTACCATCTCTACATCCAGGTGCAGTTAGGACTATAGCTGTGTCTTCCTGGGTCTTCTAATCCAGTTTCTTGTCCTTTCAGCTACTATTGCAGGCCTGTCAGGTTGCACAATCCCTTTCTTAATACTGTGACACAAGACCATGAATGACTTTCTCAAATTTACTCAGTGCATAGCTCGGTGCAGCCTGCCTGTTCAGAGGCTAAGCAACTATAAACCCCACATTTAGGAGAGGACACTCTCAGCTGCCCTGTCCTGGCAGAGTGAATGGGGGCTGTGCATGCTCTGCATGATGCCCAGAGGGAGCACATCCAGGCCTCAGATTATTCACTGCCTTATGTGCTCCTTTAGGCCCTGATTCTGCAAATCTTGAACTGGAGCAGCAATTGTGCTGCTCTACAAAAAGTTGCACGGGGTAGCAGGAGATCTTTCGGTAAGGTTTGTCACCTCTGAGCTGAGTGACACGGCTGGGCTGCACTCACACCACACTGGAAACTGAACGTACCTCACACCCCAAAACTTCCTTGGCCATACCCACATACAGTAGTAGCCAGGTGACGATAGCAATTTCCAGCCGCTCGCAAAAGGTAGTGCTGCACAGCCTTTGCTCAGCAGCAGCTGCCACAGTCAGTGACAGAGATGTAGAGACACACTAGAATGTCACAGATGAGGTAAGCAAAAAGAAAATGAAGTAACTTCTGCTCAGGCTCGTTAAGCTGAAGTCTATCTTTGCATCCACTTTGTCACCAGCTTTCTCTACGTGACTGGTGTTTGCAGCCTTAATTTGCTGCTAGTAATAAGAGAAAAAAAGATATCTATAGGTAGATGGATAGGCAGATAGTATGACTGATCATTTATGATATATTTTAATTTGCCTTCACCTTACTCAGAGCTCATGAGCACTTAACTGCACAAAGTCATTATGGGCTTATAGAGAAATCTCTAATAACGTTGTCAGCGCAGAGGATCCTACATTGAAACCAGGGAAGAAAGAGTTAATTGGCTTTGGTTTATAAATGTCATGTCAAAATAACGAAGAAGGAACTCTGCTTAGAACAAGTGAAACTTTCATCTCTCCACTGCCTAGGGTAATACAGGACTAGGATGTTCCAGATGATGGAAAGTTTGGGAATCTGGAAGTGGGAACAGGAGGATAGGGGCATCCGTGTGGATCTTTGCAGGGCAGGTGGGGTGCATGCCCTGGGGTGCATCCTTGGGGTGCAGCGCCAAGGGCTGGCAGCTCCCAGTTAGGGGATGAAACACCCGGCTGTGACCCTGTGGGGATGCGCCCGACGTGGCAGTCCCCCTCCTGGGGCTTGGCGTTGGCCTGAGCAGGTCGCAGGGCATGGCCGCAGGATGCCCCGTCCCCGCGGTGGTGGCCAGCACATCCCCGGGTGGTGCTCGGTGCTGGGCCCCCCCAGGTGCGGGCATTGGGGGCACAGCACGCCATTGAACAGGCACATACAGTTTTCTTTCCCCTCGACATTATAACTCGCCCTCGTGCTATTTAAATTGCCTTCTGACGGCACCTTGAACTTTGAGACACCTCTCTGGCAATAGGCAGGCCTATCAGTTGCCGACTTCAATAGGCTTGCAAAGTACTCTGAAATTATCCTCCTCCGTGCCCAGTGGGATAAGTTTTTTCTGAAACGATAATCATAGCTGATATTTGAAAAGTGTGCTGTGGAGTTCAGACTAGTCATTTGTTAAGAAAGCTTATGGCTCAACTTCACGTCAGCTATTAACCACCACTTCATCGAGCTTTGTGTGGCAGGAACATTGTTATCTGCATAAAAACAGAACTGCCTCCTAATTTTTTTTTTATTTTTAACTGATTTAAACTATAGGATACATCAAGTAAATATCAAAGTATTTACAGTATTGACTCAGCTCCAACAGGTTTTAGTCCAAGGGCTTACACTACAGTGGATTTTTCAAATTGGACACTCTCTCTCTGTTCATAAATATTCTACTTATGAAACACAAAAGGTGCTGGATTAATTAAAATCCAACATTTGCTCCCAAAGAATAAAAGCAAAGTAAATGATACCGCACAAACTGACTTTCCCAAGATGAGCAATCAAGACAAAATTATGTGTATATTACAAATTTTTACACTGAGAATGATACACCTTGGCCTAGGACCATTAGGCTTCAAATGTGACCTTTATGTTTACCAAAAAACCCACTCCAATCCCAGAAGATTAAGAAAAAGATCAAATAAGCCATGCCATTTCAAGCAGAAACCAATATTGGGAGACCTGGTCTCCAAGGTGGACCTACTAGTGGTGCAGACCAATGACTCGCTCTGATTGCCTTTCCATTCCAAAAACGTTCAAAAGGTCGGAAAAAACCTCACATGCAGTCTGCATGATTTGTTCCCCTTGTGCAAGCAAGGACACGAATTGCAGAGTCCTGCTGTATTTGCTGACTCTCTAATCTGATTTTGGAGATCTGCAGCCTGTGGTGGGGCAGCCTGGGCAGGCTGCAGGGCAGAGCGAGGACAGCGGGACAGATAGCTGGCTGTGCCAATCCCTCCCTTGAATTCAATTCTCTGGCTTGTTTAGCTTTTGTTCGCTTACGGTTTTGCCTCCAAGTCAGGGCTGTGGCTTTGCTACAGCGCGGCAGCGACACTGGGAAGCTTGCGAGTGGTTCACCAGGAGCCTCACGCCTGGACAACAGCGTGCTCCAGAAACAGGGAGAAAAGTGCTCGGGCAAAAGTGCTGTCTAGGTAATGTTCTAGGATTTATGGAGCCGAGGTAGGATTTTACTCACCAAACAAGCCCTACAAATATTTCCTTGCCTCCCAGACTGGGGCAAGTCCTATGATAGAGAGAGAAAGATCAGGAGCCGAAGCGGAAGAAGGTGAGACCTCCAGGCAGGCGCGCGCAGGGACGAACCGCCTTTACACAGAAACACGGGTGCTGCGCCGCGTGCTACGGCCACCGGCATCCCCGGGAAGTTTATTTTTCCTTCCTTTCTTTTAATTATAAACTTGCTGTTCCACTACAGACTGCGACAAGCAGGAAAGCCTAAAAGCCAAACACGGTCTGCTTTCAAATGCCTCAGGCTCGCGCGCCATTTATTCAAGCGCCGTGAATTACAGGAGGAGTAATAAAAAAAAATACACCGCCGTTCTGCTCTGGAAAGCAAAAGTACAAACAGCACAATACAAATTCGTGCCTCTTGTCTCTGTGAGCTGGGACAGGGGGAAACGGCTTTGCAGCAACAGCTGTAGGTGAGCACAGCTTTTTTTGTCAGAGCTGATGCTGTCTTGGCTACATTGTCCATCTCAAGCACCAGATCCCTCCCCAGTCTCAAAGGCTGGCAAAGCTGTCTCAAGTGTTTACTGCTTGGGCTAAAATTTTGCAGACTTGTTAGCAGCTAGATAAAATTTCCCTTTTGTGAAAGTTTAAACGAATGCTGTTGCATCCTTTCTAGTAGCTATCTGTATGGGGAGACCTTTCTTGTCATGCCTTATTTTCCCTGCTGCGTGCAGCTCCATGAGCTTCTGGAGGAGAATTTAATCAAGAGGTAATAGCCCTAATTGACAGAGGAATACAATTTCCCCCTGAATTGCTGCCTACTTAAGGCAGAAACAGCTATAGAGATGCTCGCATTTAGCATCAATCAACACTGTAATGAAGAGGGCTTCCCTGCCACAGTCAGGAAAACATACCTGAACTGGCACCTGCCTCCAATTTTGCTCAGGGTTGGGCTGAGGAAGAGTGTGGTTGCTGGGACAGCAAGCGCTTGGCTGGGAAGCAAGGAAGGATCCTTCAGTGTGCTAAGTGCATCAGAAGGAAAACCCCAGCAATATCATTCCTGATGCTCATTTTGGGGAAAAAAAAAACCCCTTTCAACCCTCTGCTAATTTCTCTGAAGTATGATCTTCATTGGCCTATAATGATGATGGGAGCTAGCCTGGAGCAGAGGGATGCTTTAACCCCTTTTGAGGTTGCTTCACAGGAGCTGTAAAGCTTCAGCTGCCCTGGTCCCTCACAGGTTGGATGCTGCGTGGTTTCTACGAGCCCTTGCATGTTCTC